TTGGCTGCTTCAAAACACTTGTGTATAAAGTTTTATATGTAAAGTTTGATTTTTTACTATGAAATGTGCATCATTTTTAATTTTTAAGGCGTGACAGTTTTGGATTCACAAAATCTATATGTGTAACATTGAGTTGTCCCCCCCATTTATTTACTTACCCCTAGGTATTACTACCAAAAAAATATTATATATAATTAAATTTTATATATCATGACATTGTCATATATTTTTTTCCTTAAAAAATACAAATACACTATTTAACAACCTTCTCACATGTAATAAAAAAGCTTCACATATAAGTAAACTTATAACCAAACTGTTAAATGAGTCAGAATTAAAGCCCCAAATGATTCAGTTAATTCAAAAATTATCAGTCTGGCTTGGTTTTGGTTTTTAAAAGTACCTAGAAACCTATTTTCAAAAAATATAATATCAATATGCCTTGTGAAAAATAAAATGAAATTAATGTGTGTTATAGGAATTAATGTATTTCTTATATGGGTTTGAAAAATTGCCCCTTTTCAGATTTAGTGTGAAGTATAGAATTGGTATGGAATCAGTACGGAATTTGTGACATACTGAATATGAAATAAAAAGTAAAAAGGTACGTTTTAATTCCACATCTATTATATTAAAAACGTTAGGTTCATGTGAGCGTAAGGTTTAGAATGGCATCCACGCATAAATAAACGTAACATTTAGGCTGCCACGCATAAATAATTTTTTTGAATTGTTCAATAACGCAAACGTGCGCCACAATCTATCCATTATTGTATCGTTGGGTTACCACAAGCACGTAAATAAATATGTTGTAATGCGTAACTTTTAGACTACCACATGTAATCTATCTATTATTGTATCATCACACACATAAATAAATATGTTGTGATGCGTAACTTTTAGACTACCACATGTAAATAATAATTTTTAAATTGTGTAAATGGTACAAATGTATATCACAATAAAATTTCTACAATAAAATTTTGTATGTTACACATTTGAATACTTTTACCAATTTCCACAATAAAATTTCATATATTACGCGTTTTTTTACCAATTTATTTTACTAATATATATAACACACAAAAAAATTATGGATAGAAATAACACTATGAATGAGACTTCTGATGAACGTTGATGAAGACTTAATCATGAACGACAAACGGGACTTGAGCAATTTTTAGAAAATAACATGTCTACCCCTGCTGAGCAAGAAGTAGTTATTCCTCCGACTACTGTTCTTCTAAAAACATTAAAAGTGCGTGTTTATCCATGGTGTTCACAAGGTTTAGACGTCACTCTCTGGGAAGCATGAATCATAGATGTAATTGTTGCGGGGCACTGTTGTGGATAGATGAAAGAAAAACAGGCACATCTACACGATCACCAATTTTTACAACATGTTGTGCCAAAGGCAAGGTTTCTCTTCCTCCTATTGAGGAATTACCACATCCTCTCAACGTGCTTCTTACTAGAACAGATCCAAGTGCACGTTTATTTAGGAAAAATATTAGGTCATATAATTCAGCTTTGGCTTTTACATCTATGGGTGCAAAGGTTGATAATAGTATAACAGGAACAAGTGGTGTTTACAGCTTTCGTGTTCATGGAGAAATGTATCATAGCATAGGCATAATGCTTCCTGACGTGCTCTAGATGTAAACCGTCAGCGAAACTGACGGATTACACCTAGTATAAATTAAAATTTTTGAATTTTACAAATGTAACATCAAAAAGGTTGGTTGGATTTAATAGGGTCAAATCTAGTAGTCAACGATTTATTGTTATTGTATATTTTTTATAAAGTATGATGCGAATCACTTTTATTTTGGGAAAATTATTAATATAATTTTTGGATTTTTATTATATCTTTCTGTTATAAGATATATTTAAAATTGATGAGTATAGTAGTATATATACATATGCGCTGATTTTGTTTGAACCCCAAAATCCAGTACGGTATGATCATAACGTTATGAATACTTTATACTAGCAAAAACCCATTGGTTTTGAGGTGGGGTCATTGGTTTGACGGGTTGTTGAATAGTAAAATAGTTTTTTTTAGCGGACAATTTTTTTTTTTAGGGTTAATTATCATTCTACTGACCAGTTTACACATTAAAAATACTCGTGTTTAACATCAAGACATAATAAGACATTAGGTTTGAAAAAGGCCCAAAAAACCAAATCGGCTGATATGATGTTTTCTAAGCTAAAAATGGTCATAGATCATAACTAATCTGTAAAATTTTCCATTGTATCATAGTTAATCAATTAATCATATATATTGAAATGATGTATTTTGCACAATCAAATAATAATAACAAATATATTAATTAGTTAATTTTATTTCTGTGCATTAAATTAATAAATATAATAAATACATTATACAAGTTTTAAATAAGGTATCTTTTATTTTTTACCATACATTCTATCAATATCATCTTGGTATTTTTGTTGAAGATCCCTACGTTTAATTTTTTGTGCTGCTGTCAAAAGTCCCTATTTAAAAAAATAAAAATGCAATAATATAAATATAACAAACAATTAATGACATTAATAATGATGACAATTTTGATATTTTTCTTAATTACATTTTCAGCTGTCCATTCTTCATGCACTAATGTAACTGCAGATAACAATTCTGCGGGTTTAAAATCTGCTTTCTTTGCCTCAGTGAGACAAGCTTGAAGTACTGAGTTTGTTATTTCTTTATTTTGACATAGCTTCTCAAAATCTGTTTCAGTTATGTTTTTTTCCTTTGCAAGCTTTCTGATTCGTGCTTCAATAGGAAAAATTAAAGCTACAGGACGTGACTGATATGAATCAGCACAGATACAAAGATTGGACACGAATAAGGTTGATTTATAAACTGATTCCAATCTTTCAAGTGCAATGTATTCACCATGAGCTAATTTAACTAAATTTTTCTTTCTGTCAATAATACTTAAACATCCATTTGGCTTCCATTCCCCAATATCACCTGTTTGTAGCCATCCATCTTCTGTAAATGTTTCTTTGGTCACTTTTTCATTTTTATAATAACCTGGTGTAACTGCAGGTCCACGAAGCCAAATTTCACCCTGTGGATTAGGAGTATTTGTAGATTTATAGCCAGCATCTGGTACATCAACTAATTTTATTTCTGTACAAGGCACTGGTGCTCCAACACTGCCATAAGTGAATTGTTCTGGTGTAAGGATTGTACCAGCCATACTAAAAACAAAACAAAACAATATAGAATCATTAATCAGGATATTATTGGTTAATTAATCACTGACTAAACTTACCCACAGGCTTCAGTCATACCATAACCTTGAAATATTGGACATAAAGTTACACATAAAAATTCCTGTGTTTCTTTAGAAATGGGTGCACTGCCAGACAATGCAAGTCTCAACCTTCCACCAGTTTGTTCTTTTATCTTATTGAATATCAAAGTATCAAAAGGTTTGGTTGGTAATCCTTTTTCCATTAACCAACTTTTAGTCTTGAAAGCTACATCAAAAATTTTTTGTACAGCTGGACTACTTCCATGGACTTTTGAAAGAATGCCTTTCCTAATTGACTCCCATACTGCTGGCACACCAGTCATTACACTAGGTTTCAATTCACCCATGTCACCAAGACAATTTCTTACAGATGAATCTGTCAAAGTACGAGGTGTTCCATAACCTAAGGTAACACCCCACCAAAGACATACATGTTCCACACCAAATTCAAGAACATGAGCAAGTGGAAGGTATGCAAGAAGTGAATCATCCTCTTGAATTAAGTGTCCAAGCATTTTTTCAACACCACCAACTAAATTAATAGAATGAGAAAAAGACATCAAATTTTTAATTTTTAAAAAAAACTTTTTAAAGGGAAGGAACTTACTTGCTGCAACGAGATTGGCATGAGTCAACATGACACCTTTTGGATTACCAGTAGTTCCAGAAGTGTACATGATACAACATATATCTTGTGGTTGTGGTGGATTTGAATTTATTGGATAATTTTTGCCTAATTCTTTAAGTTCTTCCAATGTAAGGATTTTAAAATTTGGATGAGCACTTGACAATTCTTGCAAAATTGATCCATTTGCATCACCATCATAAATAATAAATTTAAGAGTTGAACATTTTACAGCAACCTTTTTAACCATTGGGAGTAAATCTGCATTAGTAAATATTCCACTAACTTCTGCTTCATTCATTGAATGGAGAAGACCTTCTTCTCCGAGGGTGTCATATGCAGTCACAATAGTCATACTTTGTGAGAAACAACCTATGGATTAAAATGGTTTTGTAAGATCAATACTTTATTACAATATTTTTTTATAATTAAATCTTAGCAAAATTTTTACCATGAGTTACAAGCATCCAATTGGCACTAATATATCAAATAATAAGTATCATATATAAATATAAAAATATAATTGGATAATTTTTCATTACCTTGTAGCAGCAAAAATTTCAACTTTAGATCCTTTACTTAAACCTAATTTTATCAGACCAGCCCCGATGGTTTTAATTTCTTGATCCATATCATTATAAGTTAACCAATTGTAACCTGATAATTGAAAATATTTCCAAGTCTTCATTTCTTTTGTTTCAACCCCTCCAACAAATTTTGTGATTTCTTTTTCTTCTTCAACAATCCTTTCAATTTTTCTATAACCTAAAGCATTTTTACTATCGCCATATTTTTTAACACTACGTTGTACCACATCATAAAGAGTTTTAACACCTTCTTCGGGTGAATCAATCAATTTATCGGGGCTTAAATGGGAACGACGAATGCGACCTTCACCTTCAACATTAGTACCAATTTCAACACTCATTTTTAAGATTGAGAATTTATTTATTTATTTTTAATAAAGAAAAAAGGGAAATTAAAATATGAATATGAGAAATATGTGGAATACTGTTCTTTGTTGTACAATCTTAGTTATCGATCGATCACTAACATAATTCTGTTTATTAATTTGCAAAATATGTAAAATATGTACACTTACTACGAAATGATGATACAATGATGTAATATTTGCTGGTCGATCTATTTATTCCTAAATATATTACATTATTAGGATTTTTTGATAGTAATTCAAAATTAAAATTTCTTAAATAACACGGGTCTTGATCCAAAATTAAACTATCATTAATTATTAGTAGTATACAAAAAAGAGAAAATATGTATGGCATCTGAAGTAAACATGCAAGACAATGGAACAGGGAAAGCGAAGTACTACACGAGAAAGTTTAAAAAGAAGAATAATAATAAATATATTTATCAATGGTACTCTACAAGTTGCTCAACTATCAGATCTATCAAATAAGCAATATATATATACAGTTCACTCTCTCTATAACGGCCCGCCTGATTTGGCAAAAAAAGGCCGTTATAGAGAGAGACCGTTATAGA